CTTTCTGTATCCACACGATGGTTCAGACTGATTCCCCGTTCTTTTGGAATTTCTGAACTTCCTTTGCCTATGCTTCCACAGCTGATTGACTCTTCTGGAGAGAAGAGACAATTCGTCTTCTTCTGATGAGGATACACCAGAGTTTTCTTCTTTTTCCTGCAAAACTTTAGATTCATGTTTTTTGTTAGATTTAAGGGCTAAAGACTTACCTTGCTTCTGGGGCTCATCTTCTTCTAACTCTATCTCATGACTTTTGAGAGAGATGACAAGTTCTTCGAGAGAAATTTTGTTCAGATCTTTGGCCAGTTTAAGAGCAGTGACCATGGGTCTCCATTTCTTTGGTAAACTTCTGATGATCTTCTTTACACGATCAGCAGTTGAGTTCCCTTTATCCAGAACTTTTAGTCCAGCAACCAGAATTTGAAATCTTGAGAACATTGTTTCAATGGTTTCATCTTCTTCCATTTTAAAGGCTTCATACTTCTGAATGAGTGCAAGAGCTTTGGTTTCTTTGACTTGCGTGTTGCCTTCATGCATCATTCTCAAGGAATCAAACATGTGTTTTGCTGACTCTCTGTTTGTGATCTTTTCATACTATGTCTATGAGATAGCACTCAAGAGAATAGTTATGGCCTTGTGATGATTTATGAAATCTCGCTTTTGATGATCTGACATTCTTTTTCTGTCAATCTTCTGACCGCTTTCATCAACAGGATGTATGTATCCATCAGTCACCATATCCCACAGATCAGCGTCATGAGCCAGAAAGAAACTTTCGATTCTGTCTTTCCAGTAATCGAAGTTCTCACCATCAAAGATTGGAGGTTTGTCGTTGATTTTGTCTTTCTCATCACGGTAGTCATTGTTGATGTTCTGACTTGGTCCCACCATAGTGTTTTTCTTAGCTTGGATCTTTTTCTGACATGGTTAAGTGCTTATACTCAGAACCAGGTGCTCTGATGCCAATTGAAGAATGAAAGAACACAAGAAAGGGAGGTTTGAATTGGGGTTTTTGAAACTTAAAGAAAAGAACACGTTGGTTATCCTGGTTCATTTGAACTCAAACTACTCCAGTCCACCCGTCAAGGTGATTTTGCCTCTCTCAACGAGGTCTTAATCCACTAATAAATCTTGATTACAAAACTACCATGACAACCATCAAAGTCTTCTTGAGTATAAACCACAAGTCGATTTTCTCAAGGAATTTCACTAAACAATATTGAATAAAAGTGTAAAAGAATGTTTTCTAATAAAACAGTATCACAAGTGATGTTTTACACAGTTTAAATTTTGAATGTTTGAGGATGATAAAGATAGCTTCGTTACTGTGCGTGAAAAATCGTAAACGATTTATCCTTCAAACTTTGTTTAAATAGGCGAAGCATGTAGGAGCTTTTGGAATGTTGATCAATGATAATTAAAGAGCTTTCCAAAAATAAATATCCTTGTTCCCTTCCGGCCGTTACTTTTGAAATGGTAAAATTGATTTGTAACGCTTCAGAACATGCTTGCTTCAGAAGATGATAGTTTCCATTGCTTCTTTCCAGAGCTTTGTGGATCAGAAACACAGAGTCCTGTTTGCAGCGTTATAACTTCTTTAAGAGATGTTTAGAATCAGAGTTGAAACATCTTTTTAACTCATCTTCTGATCTTCTTCCATCAGAACTTCTCTGCAAAACAAAATATAAATTTAGGGAGCATAATTGTTCTTTGTATTTGTTATCATCAAAACTCTTACAAGGGCTGTAGAATTAAACTATGTTCTAACAGACTCTGGCTTCTCGAACGACATGACTGATCAAAAGGAGTGGTTGGCAGATTTTGATGAGTCGAAGAAGAGCAAGGCAAAATGTGTTGATAATAGTTTGTTGCAAGCAGAATGTATTGGAAATATAGTCTTCCAAATGTGTAATGGAGGGAAAACTATGATCAAAGATGTATTTTATGTACCTGGAATAAAGTGCAACTTGCTAAGTGTTGGACAACTAGTCGAAAAAGGTTTCTCAGTTGTCATGAAAGATGGAGTTTTGAAATTGTTCGACACCAAGAACAATTTGGTCTAAAAATCTCCGTTGTCGAAGAACATGACATTTAAGACTATGATCAGTTTGACTGTGTCGAGTCGAGATATTGTAATTAATGAAAATTGTGCCTGGGATTGGAATTCTAGCAATTCAATTAACAAGCCATTGATGAGTTCGACTGTCGATGAAGAAACTGATGAAGTAGAGGTCGAAGGAATTATTGAGAATCCATTCGAAGTCGAAGAGGTAGTAGAAGTCAAAGAAGAAGCACTTGCCGACATTCTCGACACAATAAAAATCAAATAGGTTGTGGCTGAAACAAGCCAAAGACCTCAAATAAATAGAGTTTTTTCAATAAGACTTCATGATTATGAAGTGGTGGGTGATGATGAAGTCACACCAGATGGTGAATTAGTTCATTTTGATTTACTTGCAGTTGTTAAACCAATTAACTATATAGAAGATTTGAAGACTAAACAGTGGAAGTTAGCTATGGTCGAAGAGTTACAGGAAATCGAAAGAAACAACACATGGAAGTTAGTCGAATTGCCAGTACATATGAAAGCTATCTAAGTAAAGTGGGTGTTCAAGTTGAAATACAATGCAGATGGGTCGATAGCAAGACATAAAGCAAGATTAGTAGTTTGAGGGTTTCTTCAAAGAGAAGGACTCGACTACTCTGAAGTATTTGCTCCAGTAGCAAGATTGTAGACTTTTCGACCAATGGTAGCATTGGCATGCAACCAAGTCTGGGCGATATTTCATTTAGATGTGAAATCAGCATTTCTGAATGGTCCTTTAGACGAAGAGGTATATGTCACACAATCTCCAGGGTTTGTGATTCAGAAGAAAGCAGGTAAAGTATATAAGTTTCACAAATTGCTCTATGGCCTCAAGCAGACACCTATCACATGGAACAAGAAGATCGACTCATACTTAGTCGAATTGGGATTTGTCAAATACAAATCTGAGTTTGGTGTCTATATTCTGGTTGTAGCACAAGATATAACAAGCATCTGCTTATATGTCTATGACTTGTTAGTGACTGAAAATAGCTTGGAGAACTTGTCGAAGTTCAAAGAGTTGATGAAGAAGGAATTTGAAATGTCTGATCTGGGAAAATTGTCTTATTTCTTAGGTATGGAATTTCAAATGTCGAAGCAAGGTATGGTGCTACATCAAAGAAAGTATGTCAAAGAAATACTCAAGAGATTCAGAATGGATGATTCAAATCTTGCATCCTCACCTGTCGAACCAAATGTAAAATTGGAGAAGAATGTAGAGGAAGACAAAGTAGACGTAACTTTGTTCAAGCAAATTGTGGGATCTCTGAGGTATGTGTGCAATAGTCGACCTGATATAGGTTTCCCTGTAGGATTAGTAAGCAGATATATGAGTGAACCAAGAGTGTCACATATAAGGGTTGCAAGAAGAATCCTGAGATATTTGAAGGGTTCAATAAATTGTGGAATATTATTTCCACTAGATTCTGAAGACAAAGAAGTAATAGTTAATTGTTTTTTAGATGTTGATTGGTGTGGAGATAAGGAAGATCGAAGAAACACAACTGGATATTTCTTTCAAGTATTTGGTGCCCCGGTCTCATGGTGTTCAAAGAAACAACCTGTGGTGGCATTATCATCTTGTGAAGCTGAATATATAGCAGGATCATATGCTGCATGTCAAGCAATTTGGATCAGGTTTGTACTTGAAGAAATAAAGGTAGAAGTGAAGAAACATCTTGTATTGCAAATCGACAACAAGTCAGCCATAAATCCGGCGAAGAATCTAGTTCTGCATGGAAGAAGTAAACATATTGAAGCAAGGTTTCACTTTTTAAGGAAAAAGGTAAATCAAGGTGAACTTGAAGTTAGACATTGCTCAAATGAAGCACAGTTGGCCGATATTTTCACCAAAGGATTGAAGATCGACAGGTTTCTGAATTTGAAAAAGAAATTAGGAATAGTTCAGATTGACTATTTTTGAGGATGTTCGACAACTTGAATTACGAGGATGTGTTGAAATATTAAATTAGATTTGTTAAAATATTAAATTTGATTAGATTTAATATTTAAATATAATCCAAGTTGCGTTGACACAAGCCCAATTAGGGTTGTATATAAATAGTCCTAGTTTGTATCATTATTTGTAACAATTCATTAATACAAATCCTTATTTTCTTTATTATTTCTTTTTTCTCTCCTCACTAAAAGTGTCTCACACACTAACAAATGCATGCACCATCTCATATGACACCTACATGCATTTTTAGGTGCTTGTATCATATGAGATGGCTTAACCTCTTTGTCCATTTTTGAAATCTAGTTATTTGTGTAATTATTTCAAAAATGTGGTTATTGATGTATTTTTTTTTAAAGTGGTTATTGCAAAAAAAAAATTCCAATTTTACTTTCCTGTTTTAGATTCAAACTGATTTAGTCTCTCTCTCACGGTGTTTTTAGAGAAAATCGATGAAACTTTCATTTCTTAATTTATATTTTTATCTACAAAATTTAATAATAGATTTATATACAATAATTTATCATGTTTTACAGGTAACTTATCATTTAAAAAATAAAAACATCATTAATTTTAAGTGTAAAACTATGCGAAGGGGACCAAAACTGTTTAAATTTAAAATATAAAAAATAAAACTGTTTATATTTAAAATAGGAGACCAATTTTATGAATAAAATAAAAATAAGGAGACTAAAACTATAATTTAGCCATTAATTATAATAAAAATTAGAGAATTAAATTCCCTCATTAATTAGTTGTTGGTCAAAATAACACATTATCTAGGTCGTGAGACTAAAAAAAGTGCTGATAAATAAAAATTAAAACATACAAATTGAATGGAAATTGAGGCAACTTGCATATAATACTGTAATGTTCTACATTAATTCAACGCCCATTGTAGTTCACCCACCCATTCCATATTTTTTCAGACTAAAAATTGAAAAACATTAGAATCCCTTACTGAACTCCTGATCTAATTTTTCTTAGTCTGCCTCGTGTGACCCTAATGCTCTCTTCCATTACTGTTTCATTCGAAGGAGGGTTTTCATTTGCAGAAGAGGATGAAGGCAGTGCTGCATCAATCTGCATTTGCTCGGCCTCTACAGGTGCAGATTGGCTGCCAGATTCGGATGCAGGATTATTCTTCTGAGCATTTAAACCTGATAAAGAGGATGGTGCTTTAGGTACTTGTGAAGAACTCAACTCCTCTGCTACTTCTTTCTGGTGCTGACTTGAAGATGAGCTAGAAGTGGCAGGAGTTGGACCCTCAGCTGGTGGTGCTGTTGCAGGAGCATTGCTGGCTGCTGGTTGGCGGCCCCTCGCACCTGGTCGACGCTGTTAATTGAGACAGTGTCAAATGTGCACTAATCATAGTACAGTTAAGCTACATGTCAAATATCATGGGTACCATACCAAAACACATATCTAACTACCTGCGCAGGGGGAGCCGGAGGCGCTGATTGAGCAGCAACATACTGCAAAATGTCAAAAACTCTAGTCTGGCCATAACTAGCAGCCTTTTGCCAATACGTAACTGCAATATCTCCTGCCCGTGTCCTTAGTTCCATCAAATTGCGATCAATATCTGTCTCGTGCTTCGCAACATATGGTCTAAAGAAAGAATCATACACATATGTTGTTCCCTAACACAGGCAATAATATTAATGCGAAAGATCAAGCTGAAGAGAATTAAATTATAAAGCTGTATCAGATTCAACCACAGTAGTTAATTGCATACCTTAGTTTTCGGGTACCAAAGATATATAAAAAATGCCAGCTTAGCTTCACTATACATCGGAACCCTTCAAGAAGAAAAAGGCACAAACTAATTTTAACAATAAGCAATCAGAGAGCATGTGAAAAAGAAAAAGGACATGGCATTATCTGCACATATCCAATATAGTATATTTACCATGATATAAACGTATCACCAATACGCTCACACACCGTCAAAAGAGCAACCAAAATCCTGCAATACAAAGGGAAATTTTAAAAAAGCACGTACCGTTGTATACCAATTATTTACAAGTTAAGTTTCATGGAAGTATACCAATACTGGCACCAAAAGCGTAGCTGTTCAATCTCAGGCCTATTCATTTCAACTGCTTTATAGCATTCATAAGCAGGGTAGGCATAGCCAAAAACCATCCTGCAAACACATAAACAGTGAAATATAAAAAACAGTTGAATTTGAAAATTACAGCACAAACCTATCATATAAGATTGATCATAAACATACACAAGTATCCTGGTAATAAAGGATCCTATCATTTTGTATCCCTGGCATAAAAAAAAAATACAATTAGTTAGTCAAACAAAATAGCTTCAAAGAAACTGAAACCAAAAAAGAGTTATAAACATAAAAAATTTAGTTCCTCAAATTAAGGCTTTGTTTGGACTTTGGATTGATGGAATCAGATGGAGCGGAGCAGTATGAAATAGAATGGAGAAATATTTTATAGTTTGGATCATTTAAAATCGGAAGGAACGGAGCAGAATAGAGTGATATGGATTTCATTCCATTCCATCACTTACCACCATATTTCCAAACTGATGGAATGAAATCTTCGTTCCGCTTCATTCGATTCTGCTACAATCCACTCCGCTTTATTCGGCTACATTCCGCTCCGTTCATTTTATAATATCCAAACACAGCCCTAAGGTTACTATAATAAGGGTTGGTAATGTTTGTGGATATATCAAAATCTGCGACGCTATCCAAGTTTCTCTATATGAACAATAGTTGGTAGCTCTGCAGAGACATCATTAGACGCAACATGACCTATTACTATTACCCCTATATTCACCATTAATGAAATGCTAAGCTAATGTTAGGCTTCTTACCCCTTTTTTCTACAGTACAAAATCGAACAAAACAAAAACAAAAACAAAATAGGGTTTGTTCATGATGAACACAATCTTATCCAAAAGGTTAAAATTGTAAACAAATTGATATTGGACTTGGTATTTTTTTACATATACTGTAATTGAGATAAAAACGATTTCATTTGGGTGTTCAACATAAACAATGGAGAATCAGTTGACATTGAATTAGGGCACAATTACAACTAAACCAATAAACCGTTTCCGAAATCAAACTAACATGAAACCGAAACTAGCAATAAAAGGGGCAAAAATCAAAGGAAAAAGAGAGGAAAGAAAATTGATACCTGGTTAGAAAAAGATGAGGAAGAAAGTGAAGTGTAAATCAAGGGTTGGGAAACAGCGGCAGCGCGAGTAGAAATACTTGGAGTAGAGAAAAGAAGAAGAAAGAAAGAAAAGAAGCGGAAAATGAGAACAAAAATTTAGAATTTGGAGGAGCTGTTTAAATTTTGTTTTTTCATGTTTCAATTCAAACTCTTGAAGTAAACTAATTTGTATTAATTTAATTTTTTATGCACTTATCATTGTGTATTTTTCATAAACCTTTTTATGTGAGCTATTTTTTATTTATTTCATAAATATTTGATGGAGGACAATAATTCGTCTAACTTGTGATTTTTCATTATTTCGATTATATGTGATTCACATCAGACAAATAACAAGTTTGTTATTTTCATTCTAATATATATAAAGAATATGTCAATTTAAATACTCAATTTTAAATTTAATCTCAATTTATTATTCTCTGTCATATAATAACTTGAGTGTTGAAATGTTAATTTTGAAGGCTAATTTTGTAGTTTTTCTAATTTTCATCTCATTATTTAGGCATTGTTAGGCTTGCATTTTCAAAGACAAAATGTAAATATCATTGCCCTGAAACCGTACATATTCATATATTTCATTTATATGGCCTGAGTAGAGAGAATTTTAGATCAGAACTTCTTGGAAAAATTAGGGTTCAGACTAGGGCTAGCAATATTCATGCTTGTTTTTTATTTATAGTTTTAATGCTTTACAACTCTGGAACCATGATGAAATTTGCTATAACTTTCATGTTTACATTTTCCATTTTGGTTGAGAAATGAATGAGTTACAGATGCTCTGGTTGGCGCGAGGAAGAAGATGAAGTTCATCATCAGAACTGATTTTGTAATATATATATTTATGATTTTGTTTATAATACCGGATGTATAGCCACCTCAGTGGTAAAGAGCGCGCACGTAAGGCATTAGTGTTAAGGGTCATGGGTTTTTATCCCATTTACTTGTTAGCAGCGCGCCTGGGCACAGAACTTCTGGGCTTTCTCATTTTTGCTTCCAGTATCACCCCCATTTACTTGTTAACAGCACGTTTGGGCCAGAACTTCTGGGCTTTCTCATTTTTGCTTCCAGCATCACCCCCTATTTATTTGTTAACAGCACGCATGGGCCAAAACTTCTAGGCTTTCTCATTTTTGCTTCCAGCATCATCCTCCCACTTACTTGTTAGCAGCGCGTCTGGGCACAAAACTTCTGGGCTTTCTCTTTTATCTTCCAGCAACACCTCCCATCTATTTTTTCATCACGCAGCCCAACATAACCTTCTTTTTATTTTCTTTTTGATTCTGATCACAAAAATACATTTGGACCTAAACCAAACACAAATAAGTTTTACTTACAAACATCATTTTCACTTTCTAAACCCTCTGACTTTAATTTTATATTTTTATTTTATTTTCTTTCCTTTATTATTTTTATTATTATTATTATTATTTTTATTAATCAGAAATACTAAAAATATATTATATTAAATATTTAAATTATTTAGTTTATTTTTATTTAACTTCTTTAAATAAAAAAAAGACCAAAAAAATCTTCCTATTTAATTTCTTTTCTTTAACTTAATATTAAACTTGATTTAGTTCATTTTCTTTTTTAATTAAAATTATTTTAGAATTTAGGATTTCTCAATTAATTAACTTTGTATACTAATTTAATCAACATTCTTCTATAAAACCCTAAAAACTTGCTTTCTTCAAATAAAATTAGTTTCTTTATTTATTAACTTAATCTTAATTTTTCTTATTTTAGTTAATTATCTTCTTTTAGTTAATTAGGTCAAAAACCTCTTTTCTTAAATAAAATCCAAAATAAATTTCATTTCTTTTCCATTTTTATTTTTATGCATTATATTCATTCTATTTCTTGTACATTATATATATTTTAATCCTTGTACATTATTCAAGTTCAATATGGTTGTAATAGATAATTAGGTTTAATTTCTTGCAATCCCCATTTGTAAATTTGTACACCCCATCCCCAAATGATGTAATAACGTAGAATATTTAATTTCCGCAATTTATCGCTTTCATATAAATGCTAGTAATTTAGGGTTTGTATGGAAAGATAAAATCAATGCTTAGAAAATCCTAATCCAAGACAAAAATGCATGCAATCAAACACAATATTCACATGTGCACCTCTAGGGTAACCTCGCTTGTTGCCTCAGAAAATAGTCATGTCCCTCGAATATGGGCGTCTTAGCAAAGACTCTCGATAAAAAAGATCGTAGTCCCTCGATGTCCCTCGATGTTGCCTTCGGTAAACGATTTATTCCCTTATGAAAATTGCTAAAGCGTCTCATAAGTTGCCTTCTATGACTATACAATTGACCCGCGATTGTCCCTTCACATCCAAAGATAGGGCTTCTTATCAATCAATGGTAAGGTAGCAATATCTAAAGGAGGAGGAAAAGAACAAAGACCTTTTGAGTAGGTAGGACGCTCGTAGTTGTTTGCTCACAAATCAAAACCATTTTCACACTCACACTTTCAAAACATCTTCAAAAACAAATATCTCTTTGAACTATTTTCAAAACCAACACTTTGTATGCATTCTTATAGAGACGAGAATCATTACAAAGTTTTCCGAAACAAAGGCGTTTTCAAAATACTTTCAATACCCACCACAAATACATTTCAAACAAAGCAATTTCAAAGGTGATCTAGCAAGCAACTAAGAGCCCGTAGATAACTACGGATGAAAAGGGTGCTAATACCTTCCCTTTTCATAACCTACCACCCGAACTCAAGAAAAATATCTCAAAGGTCTTTCTTGTGCTTTTCACCCTTTCCTTTATTGGATAAAAGAAAAGTCGACGGCGACTCTTGCTATTCGTAACATTTGAGATAAAATGTAAAACACCCAAGTCAATTCTCCCACCGTATTACACTAAGGTATATGGAGATTGAGTACAAGTAGTCGACTTCTATTTCCTTCATCAACTTTAAATCTATAAAGGAACTTCAATGTTGATCTCTTTTTCATAGTTTTCTTCTCTTTTTTTGGTAACTTTTTCTTTTCTTTTTTCATCATAGTACTAATAAGGTAGAAAATTAAAACTGAAAGAAACACAGAAGCAAACAAGTTTATTAATTTCAAACAAAGAAAAGTACAAGGGGAAGAACTCTCTAAACATCTAGATAATACTCTTCTTTGGATCATGCTACAAAAAGAGAAATAAAAAATACAAACTAAAAGTGGAAACTACCAAATCATATGTTGCCAGAGTTGAAGAATTTGTTTAGATAATTCATCCCATCTTGAAATTTCTTATTTTTCCTAGCCCAAGAAGTCCTCATTTTCACACGTCTATTAGCTAAGGCATTGTCTTGCTCCATGAAGTAGATCTCCATAGTTTCAAATGTTGGAAACCTTTCCCTTAAGCTTTGAACTAGCATGTGACCTCTGTGTTGATCTTAAAAAGTTTGGTAACTTTGTCCAAAGTTAGATGGATGAGCATAAAATTTAGGTGATATTTCATTCACCTAACTAGTCATTGCCTAGTGGGTATTTTTCGAGCCTTTGCAAGAGGTCAGAAGCTTGTTGTTGTTGCAGGATTCCTTTTTGTTGGTTGATTTTAGGATGATAAAATTGCTCTGGGTCTTCTTGTTATACGTCTTCTTGTGTTGAATATGTTGGGATTATTCTCGTGGTGCTTTTATTGATGGACAAAATAGGACTCACCATTGCATCATCGGGTTGAGTAGGTACTCAGTTTATTAATAGTACAAAATGTCTAAGGATCTATTTGGTTCAATGGAGGTGAGGGAAGGGGAGGGAATTTAATAGAGGAGGGGGGAATGCAGGGGGGGAAAGGGGAGGTAATATATGTTTGGTTCAAAGAAGGAGATGGGATGGGAGGGATTTTTAACAACATGTATGTTTGGTTCACAAGGGGGAGGGGAGGAATTTTAAAATTATATTACCTTTTTATCCTTATAAATATTTACATATGTACTTGGTAAAAATAATTCTAAATAAAAATAGTTTTGACATTCAGACATAACAGTAAACAACAACACATATTAGTTGAACTATAGTTATTCGATGCAAATCAAACCATTT